CATGACGGAGTTTACCCTAGATCTGAGCATACCGAGGCTGCGCCGGCACCTCAGCAGCCGACCGATCCTTTCGCCACCGCGGGTTTCTCAGATCAAAGCCCCTTCGCCAACGCCACCGCCGCACCTCGGAACCACCGACGAAGATCCGCCGACTTTGTGGAGACGGCTCAGTTCCTTAGGGCTTGCTCTCTCTGTAAGCGTCGCCTGGTCCCCGGCGCGACATCTACATGTACAGTTGTTTATTCACCTTAATTTTCTCTCAACTTCGAAATTTTCTCAATTCTTATACCTAGTAAGTTTAATCAACTGACTTTTCCTCGGTCTTTGCAGAGGCGATAGCGCTTTTTGCAGCCTGGAGTGTCGTCAACAGCAGATAAAGCAGGACGAGAGAAAAGAGAGGTGCTCGTCTGTAGCTTCGAAGAAAGGAGCAGCTGCACCGGTGGTCTCGGTCGCCGGATCGAAAGTCGTTGCCGTCAAAGGGGGGACGTAGCCGCCGTTTGGATTGCTTAGTCACGAATTCATTCAAGCATAATCATATAATATATAGTTCCTTCAAAACTATATATATATATGTGTGTACGTTATAGGTTGGGATATGGTGACGGTGATAGTGCAGTTTTTCCTGTACGCTGGTGGGCAGGTTTTGGCAGGGCTATAGATACAACTTCAAGTCTATTAATTCTTCCTTTTCTGTTCTGATCTTAATGTTAATTATGGAGGAAGACTATGGCTTCTTTTTATATACTTTCGATTTTATCTCTGTCCTCGTGAAACAATTTGAGTGAAGCAGGAGGACTAGAGTATGTGGGGGATTCTCGTCGTGTTGTGATGATAATGGCTTGTCTGCCTGGGAACATGCCAGCATGAGCTACCCCCAAGGCATGAAAACTGAAAGCTAGTGGACACGGTGGTGAATGATACTAAATTTACTTGAATGCATAAAACAAGAACTTGTTCTCCTCTTCTTCCTCACTGCTACGTGGTGGATCCAAAAAACCTACTTTGAAACTTTATTTGTTGCATTACGTGCGATGGAAAAGACAGTTAATGATATTTTAAAAGCGTCGTGCAGAATCCCACTTTTCTTTCTTTCTAATTTTCAAATTGTCATTAGACAGCGGAGGTTTCCGTCCTTGCTCCAGACCATCGACAGCCAGCAAATCAGAAAGTACTGAAATCATATATTGATTATGCTAAATAAACTATAGCTAATTACAATTTCTTCCGACGTAATAAGTCTAAGTTGTACGTATCTCGCTCAAGATTGAATTTATTTTGATTTGATTTAATTTAATTTAATTATTCTAATAACCCTAACTTAAATCAAGAAATTGTTTATTTTTAATCAAATAGAACTGACTCATAATCTAATAGGCCAATTTATCTAATTAATTAATTAATTATATTATATGATTTATATATATAAGACATTGGAATGTATCTATCATTAAAAGTAGGGGCATAAATAATACAGGTTAAGTTTAACTCAAGCTTAAAAAGGTTAAGTTTGCTAAAAATTATTAGTTTAAATTTGTCTAATAACAAATCAAAAAAATTATCATAATCTAATTTATTTGTAAAATTAACAAAATTTGACTTAGCCGGTTAACCTATTATATGATATATAATAATATGTTTTATAGTTTAAATTGATATAACCTAACAGACAATAGTCAAATTAGATATTGTTAATTTTATAAATAAATTAAGTTAAAACTAACTTTTTAACCTCTTATAAATTATAAATTTAAATTCAAATTAATAATTTTTTATAACAAATTTGATCTTTTTAAATTTCAATCAAACTCTACTGATATTATTTTGACCCCTACTTCCCAAAGAATATACATCCCAATTTTGAAATAACTAAGGCTATACTCCTTTGCATCATCCACGTTAGAGATGTGACAAGCATACTTTTTTAATATTGTTATAGCGTACTCAAATTGCCTTTAGAATGAATCTTTATTGCATACCTACTCAGCTACTACCTCGGTACTTCGCTGCGCTGCAACAGCTTCAGCATGCTAAGCGTTCACCACTTAATTTATTCTCCCCCGCACCTCCGCCTCCAAATTGTTCGTTCCTTTGTCACGACTCTACATGAGTTTAATTTTATCCAAATTTAATTAAAATTAGTTTTTTAAATAATTAAAAATTTAATAAATTAAATCTGATTATAAATATCTGTAATTTAAAATAAGTAGATCGAATATGAAATTAAGCAATTTGATTAATTAAAAATCTAAAATAAATATTTTGATAATATTTTTTCTTTAATTAATAATTATATATATTAATAAAATTTTATAATTAATGATGTACTAATTTTTATTTGTGAGGCATTTTATTTAATAGAATAACATATATTTTTTCTAAACCATTTTAGAATATTCTTCTACTTTTCCTAATTTAAATTTTTCCATTAGATATTATATTTAAATAATTATTATTTTGAAATTTTATAAAGTACTTGAATAAATTGATTACAAAAATTTTATAAGTTTTAACTATAATACAAATAAAATTTGATAATTTTTATGAAGTACTGGAATCATATTATAACTTTTGTAATATATTATTTAACAAAAGTTCATCTTAATTATTCATAAAGTAATTTATTTTTGAATTTATTATATTTTATTAAAATCAAAATAATTAAACATAAGTATTTATAATTTAAATATCTAGCAAGTTATTTTTTATTAAAATTATGTCTTTTATTTCTGATTATTTAATTTTAATTATTATTAACTATTATTCAGATCGGATTTTTACTTGAATTTTAGATTTTTATCGGACTCTGACATGGTAGTGATAGGTACAGATCTTATAGGATATCAGATTGGATTTGTGTAAAAGCTGCACACAAAAAAAAAAAAATCTTTGACCAAAAGTCGGCCGAAGCTCCTGAAACAATTTGCTCCAATAGGAGCTTAACAGCTCAAATTAACTTTAGGACTTTGTGTGTAAGATAAAACGAGATTGGATGAAGGTTTAACAGAGAATTTGAGTGAGAAGAGAGGGAGAAAGCAAGCCGGAACAGCTGCACAACCGACGAAGAAATTCCTGGAAATTTCTGTTGGTTGATAGAAATTAATCTAATAAAAGCTGCTGTGGAGCTCGGGGATCATGAGAAATTGATTACGAAAGCTTCAAATCATTAGGTAAGTTGAATTTCTGCAGTTTCAAGGCTCAGGGGGTGTTCGGGTTCGTTGAGGGAAATCGGGCCTGCAACTCGGGTTTCTGGGTGACAGGACAGACCTGGACAACGTTCGGGTCTGACCAAGGGTTGACCCGTCCGGTCCAGCCCTGTTGGGCTGGAATCGACCGGTTTAGGGGGATTTTTGACCCTGATTGAAGAACAAAGACCGGTTCCCGGTTCAGAAGAGGGAGGGGAATTAGTTGGGACCAGGTTCAAGCTCTGAATCGTCTCAGTTCAGGTAGATCTAAGAGAAATTAGGGTTGAACTGGCCGGTTTTTGAGGGATTAAGGCTGGTTCAAAGCTTGGTGTTTGGTTTAATGTGTTTTCTTGGGAACCATGGCCAGTTCAATCTGGGTTTGTACAGTTTGAGTTCAGTCCTTGTGGTTTAAGCTCGGTTCATCCCGGTTCACCTTAGTTTATGAGGAATTGAGCCCGATTCGGCTCGGTTCACGGAATGGGGCCGTTGCGACCTGGTTCAGTAGGTTTTTGGTTGGGTTTGGTCCGGGTTTTGATGGTTAATGTTAGTTTAGTTCGGTTATGAGATTCGGATTTCGGTTCGATCTTGTTTCACGTTTTTGGCATCCAATTCATTTAATTTATGAACCCGTTATAGATTAAAATGTGGGTTGGCTTAGGCATAAATTGAGTTTAGTCAGTGACGACTCAAGAGGGGTCTCAGGGTGCGTGTCAGGGGCTCAGTCAAGGGTTTAGATCCCAGGCTGCTTTTGATAATTTGGATTTTTAGGAATAAATTCCAATTTCGATTCTGATGTTCGTGTCGGTGATTGTAGATACTCCGAAGGAGGCACGCACTAGTCTTTGAGCCGTCTGTTTGAGTTTCAGCATTTGATTTTGACGTGTCCGATGAGTGACAGTACTCTCTGTACATGGGTCTACATTACAATTTTCTGTTAGTTTCTGTATTTTGATTTCTGGACGGTGAGGTTACTTCTGACATAAATCTATCTGTTTTGAAATATGATAAGCTTGAAATTATTTCAGTAATTAATTGCATACCTGCCTCAGTGATACATGTGTTTTTAAAAAAGTTAATCTGTCACGAGTTTTTTATGTGATTCCGATTTCTGGTTCTGACTCTAGTTATGATCTAGGGTGCCAGAGGCTCGGCCACCCGACGGTTGGGCACTGTGGCGTGCGGGAGTGCTCTGGGCCAATGATGTGATATGTGTGATTCTGATTCTGATTCTGGTTCTGGTTCTGACACGGATTCTAGTGTGACAGATATAAGATATGTGACTCTGATTCTGACATGGGATGCCAAGGGCTTTGCCATCATATGGTTGGCCACCATAGCATGCGGAAGTGCCCTGGGTCCACCTGTGACTCTGATTTTGATATGGGATGCCAAGGGCTCAGCTGGTGGATGGTGGGTTGCCGTAGTGTGCGGGGAGTGCCCTGGGTTCATATGTGGCTCTGGTTCTAATATGTGTTATGTGATATGTTCTGATATTCTGACAGATTTTTGATTTTCTAATTCTGACTGGGCATAGGTAAAAAACATGTGTTATTTAAGACAAATTTGACTTTTGTAATTGTGTTATTACTTGGAAACGACACGTGTATTTTAATTTAAATGGTTATGGTTCCATCCCAGCATGTTTAGAGTAGTACTATTATTTATTGACTTTTATTACTCACCCATTTTTCCCCACCTTCCAGATTTCTCGTTCTGATTGGCAGTAATAGCTCCAGTGTCAGTTCGTCACAGCGTGCACTGATTGATTGCACGACACTTTCTGTATATATTTTCATTTATACTCTAGACGCTCCACGTACCTTTTAGACATGTTTTAATTTATGTATATGTAATGTTTATTTTGAGACTATGTCTTTACGCTGATGAGTTGGAGGCTTACCAGGATTGGTACACCAATCTTGGTGCCAATTGCGCTCCGGGTTGGGGAATAATAGAAATGGTATCATGCTAGTTCGAACCTGAGGATACTGGAGCAAGGCCTTAGCAATGTTTCTGTTATGACGGTGAAGGCCCCACTTTCATAATAGAGAAACTGCCAGGGACCTCTTAGGAATGACTTGACTCAGTTTCTCAATTCCTTATGCCTGTTTGTTCTGTTACTATGTTCTGTTGTCATCCTATTGTTTTTTTTAGATGGATCCTCCACGTGATATTTGCATGCCCCCAAGAGAGACTGTAGATCTTGGGGCATTAGGAAACCCCTCGAGTGGAGCCGCCCCTTCACAGACAAGAGGAGGGCCGCGCTAGGGGACGAGGAGGAGCTACGAGACAGGCATGCAGGTCGACT